TTTTCTCAGATGCAGAGATCAGATATTGGATGGTAAACAACCTAGATCTCTCATCACCTTCCAAGAGTGGCAATCCGGGCGCAGACATACCTGATGAAAGAAGACGATGCAGATGCTGTCATGCTACCCCCGATCGACCCGATTGCTGCGGTACCACAGAATCTAGACACAGCATTCCATAAAGCCACGAAAGTTCAGACACCACACCATCGATGAAAACTACAAGCTGATCAGCGATGTCAAGAACAAGAACTACAAGATTGACGATCGCAAATTGGTTCAGATAGAAACCATGACGAGACGTATGTTCTTTGGTCTAAATAGATCTAGAACGATCAATGAGACACTTATCACCAGATTTCGTAACACGACCTCTGAAGATGATAGAATGATTGTCTCGGCCCTACTTATGCAAAAGAAGGACCAACAGTTCCTAATGGATCATCTCACATCTGTCTCAGCAGCACTGACCTTAGCTCGTCGTCAAGGCCTCCTCGCTTCCTGCAGCTGGGGTGAGAACTTTACAGCTCCACTATATACAGCCCCGTGGTCTTCCCCATCCATCTTTGACGGAGGAATAGACAGAGTCTCCAAGGAAGTCACTAAGGATTCCAGAGAAGTCCTGATGATTAAATCGATGGACACACTAGCCAGCGTCATCCGACAGACTTCACAAAGATACTCAGGGAGATCTAAATTCACGGGTCTACAGAGAGCAAGAGACAGGAAGATAGCCAGCTCCAGGGGAAAAGATTCTTTTCGTCGCCCATATGGCAACTATAGAGGAGGGTCAGGAAGAGGCAGGACACCCAGAGGTTCCCGCAACTATAAACGTTGAAAGACAGGTTCGGAACGACTGGAGTCTTCCACCCCCAGCCGTTCCAGTACAACCATCACAAGTGGGTGGACGCCTTCAACTACACTGGGAAAACTGGGGAATGTTACAAGACCCTTATGTCTCCAACATTCTTCAACACGGATTTCTTATCCCACTACAGGCCAAGCCTCCGCTGACAGTCAACCCTCACAAGTTCGACTTACAGGCACATCAACTACCAAAGTTAAGAGAGGCTGTTACATCACTCCTAACCAAGCAGGCCATAGAAGTAATAGATCAAAGAAACAGCGAACCAGGTTTCTACTCCCCAGTTTTCCTAGTACCCAAGAAAAACTCCAAGGAGAAATACAGACTCATTTACAACATGAGCTTCTTCAACAAGAATTATCTACGCAAACCACCGAAGTTTCGTATGATACATCTACCTCAGTTACGGCAGTTGATTCGCCCCATGGACTACATGGGCAGTATAGATCTACAGGATGCATATCTGCACATCCCCATACATCCCGAATCCAGGAAATACCTACGGTTTACACTAGACGGGCTACATTACCAGTGGAAAGTACTCCCATTCGGAATATCATCAGCCCCCTGGCTATTCACGAGGATAACGAAACCGATTATCGCCTATTTACATCGTCAAGGGCTACGCAGTGCATTTTACCTCGACGACGGGATACAAGTAGATCAAGATCCACAGCGTCTCAAACTACAGTTAAACTACATCATAAAGCTACTAACACAGCTAGGATGGTTAGTAAACTTACTCAAGTCGGACCTAGTACCATCGCAAGACCTGCAGTTCCTAGGCATTCGATTTATCACGAATCTCAACCGTATCGTTGTACCAGAAGACCGTTGGACCAAGATCCAACAGACCATTCCACCAGCTCTACTCTCTCCGTTACCACTTCGACAGTGGCAGAGCCTACTAGGTCCCCTCACATCAGCCCAAGACATGACAGTCAGAGGCAGATTACAGTTACGTCCCTTACAGGTCTTCATCAATGCACATCTCGACGACCTACAACCATTCAGTCTACCGAAACGTCTCAGACCTCATCTACTATGGTGGACAAAGAAATCGAATGTCTGCGAAGGGATTTGTTTAGCAGAGCAGGAATTCAAAACCCATCTATATGTAGACGCGTCACTCCAAGGTTGGGGAGCTCATCTCGCCAACCGGACGGCATCAGGGTTATGGAATCAGCAAGAAAGCAAGCTCCATATAAACATGTTAGAGATGAAAGCTGTAATCAACGCCATACTGCATTGGAGCACCATTCTACAAAATGCGCACCTAATGATTCATACCGACAACATGGCAGTGGCGTTCTATGTGAACAGACAAGGCTCAACGAGATCACCGAACCTTTTGAACTTAAGCTTTCAACTGTTCGATCTAATCCACGATCTAAATCTACAGGTCAGAGCATGTCACATTCCCGGAGCCAGAAATGTACTAGCAGACGCACTCTCTCGGCCACATCAACCGTCACCGACAGAATGGATGCTCAATACAGAGATATTTGCACAGATAACCAAGCAAATAGGAATGCCGCTAGTAGATCTATTCGCCACACGATTCAACAATCAGCTACCGACATTCGTGTCACCAGTCCCAGACCCACAAGCATGGGCAACGGACGCTCTAAGCATATCCTGGGAAGGCCTCAATGCGTACGCGTTTCCGCCGCCAGTAATAATGCCTCAAGTGTTACAGAAAATCAGACAAACACAGAGCCTACAACTCACTTTGGTCGCGCCCTACTGGCAGGCCAGAACGTGGTTTCCCATTCTAATTCAAGAAATCGGTCAACCGGCACTAGAGCTACCCAAGCGCTCAAATCTGTTAATACATCCACACACCAAACAGGTGCACGGAAGCCCAGAAGTATTCCAACTTCACGTATGGACTGTATTAAAATGTGTTTAAACAAGAGAGGATATTCTGCCAGGGCGGCAAAAGCGGTCACGCTTGCCTTACGGTATTCTACGCGAAACTTGTACGACGACAAGTGGCACAGTTTCGAAAATTATGCAGCAAATAAGGGATTTACAGCGGAGAGATGCTACACATCCTCAAGTGGCAGACTATTTGTGTTACCTTCGTCAAAACAAACATTTAAAAGGCTCGACATTATCAACATATCTTGCCGCGCTTAGTTCTGTGCTTACGATGAGAACGGGTGTCAAATTGACTAAGTCGCCAGAGTTACTGGCCTTACTACGTGCTTTCCGATTGGAGGACCAAAAGCGGAAGTTCCACGCCCCAGCTTGGGATCTGAATGTAGTGCTACAACACCTCACAAGTGAGGCTTATGAACCATTGGAATCGACAACCTTTGAATTTCTCTCACAGAAAACACTTTTCCTGTTATCTCTAGCCACGGCAGCCAGAATGTCCGAAATTCACGCTCTAGATTATGAGAGGATACAGTTTGATGACAATCAAAACACAGCGCACCTGGGATTAAGATGGGATTTCATCGCCAAAAATCAACTACCAGGTCAACCAGACAGGTTATTCCACGTCCCGGCACTATCTTCGATTCTCGGATCTCAAGATACACTAGACTTATCGCTGTGCCCAGTCAGAGCTCTCAGAATCTATTTACGACGTTCCAAAACAAGGCGAAGATTTCTCAAACGATTATTCATCCCCTTGTCGGCAACAACTCAGACAGAAGTCTCTCGTACCACCATATCTATATGGATAAGGACTGTCATACTTCGTGCCTACAAGGCAGCAGGCTTGGACCCTCCAACAGCATCAAATCCCCATGAGATCAGGGCATTGGCTTCCACTCTCGCCCTACACGGTAACTGCTCATTGAACACAATTATGGAAGGATGCTTTTGGAAATCTAACATGGTGTTTGCTAATCACTATCTGAGAGATATCACCACCGAGGACGTATCTGGCATTCACCATTTCGGTCCCTTGGTCCTCGCTCAGCAGCTGACAGTCCCTCGTAGGCGTTAAAAATTACCCTCACGAGATTATTATGTATGGTATACATACATTATCTAGCTTATAACTCTACGGAGTTCTAGGGCTATGTATATACTTAGCTTAAGTTATTCAGCCTTAAGCTTATACTGATATTATGTTCAGTTATACAGCGTCTCTATCAGAGTCGCTTTTATATTTCATTATTTATATCTATGTAATATATCTCAGTATATTATTAATGTAATACCCCAGTTATGGCATTATATAACCTATGGTTTATAATAGAGGAAATATCCTAAGTCTATGCCTTCATGAAGTTCCCGTAAGGGGTTATTACAGTTATATCTATTCAAATCACTAATTATGAATCCAAAGTATTCTGTTTTCCCACCTCCGGTTCCGTCGGATTCTACAAGCAAAAAAGCATGAGTCAGGATAAGGAAAAATATGTAATTTTTAGAGTAAAATTGATATTTTATACTTATCCTGACTCATGAGGTAAGCCCTCCCATCCTCCCCACATAACACTTTGGATTTCCCTGTAAATTCAAGTGTTGGGCTCGCAAAATCAGGAGAGAGTGAAGCATGAGGCCAGAGGGTGGCGACACCTGTTCCCGCCAAAAGGGCAAAGGGAGGCAACTCGTGGTGAGTACCAATTAGTGATTTTACATTGAAGGGAGCTTCAATTAAGGAGATACAAGTGTTCCACTATGTTCGCAAGAAGAAGAAGACAAGCAAAAAAGCATGAGTCAGGATAAGTATAAAATATCAATTTTACTCTAAAAATTACATTATTGTAATATATTTAAGCCAGTTTATATATATATATCTATTTTACTGTACTCCACAGGGCGAAGGTTCCCCAGTTGTCTAAAGCACTGAAATTCGCTGTAGAGTTGCATTCAGTGGGATCTCTAAGGATCATGAGCTGTATTACCGTTTTTGCCTTATTTCATTCTATTTTAGCACCATGCAAACCTGTGTCATGGGTTTTACCAAAGAGATATATCACAAACTGCTTCACCTTCAATGGTTTTACACTGCTCTCAGCACTATTCCAGCAATATCATAGTTTGAAATGCCAGAAATAGTACATATTTTTGGACTTGGACCCTGGTCTTAGGAAAAAAGACGCACTGTACAAAAAGTGTTGAACCCAACTCACTCACTCACTATTCCCTGACCATATCGTGTATGTTACAGTACTGCCTGGCCTACAACAAGGAAGTGATAGCATCAGGATGTTCAGACAGTGCAGTCATCATCTGGAGTCTGTCAGGTAAGTCATTTCAGACAGATAAACATTAACAGTAACTGTCAATTATTCAATAACACATCCATATCTGTATACACATTGACAAAAATTGTTCTGGCGAATTGTTTAACGGATTCAGATTTTGATACACATTTGTACAATATCAGAATTCATCAAGTGTACACATCATCCGAATATTCCTCGGTATTCTCATTGTATGTGTGCTCAAGCAGATGTGAGAAAGAAATGGCATCAATCTGGATTTGAATGTTGTCATCAAATATGTGCTGGAATGTTTCCGTTTTAAAAAGATTTATAACTGCCTGATTTAAGAAATAAAATGGAAATGTATTTTTGGTGAATGTTAACAAATTGAAATGGAAATAACCTTCATTTTGGTATCTTTGCATGAACATTTTTTAATTATTTTTGCAACCATTGGACTTATCTATTGTAAGTGGGGGCTTTATACAAGACATGTCGCCGCGTGGCTCATGTAAGTTACCAACTCTGTCAATTGGTCATTCTTGCTTCAAACTATTTGTAGATGTGACAATAATATTTTTAGAAGCCTATACTTTTTAACATTCATCAACAAGTATGAACCACAGGCCCACATGTGAACTGAACCTGGGATTTCATGCCTGCATTCCGTTGACTTCATGTTTATGCAACACTTCTCATGGCAAAGTGTGGATTTTCTATACTGAGTCAAAAAAGAAACTTCACATTCTTTCTTCAGGGCACTATAAAAGAACAAGAGATGGTAAGATGGTTAAATTGTTATTATTTCATTGCTGAGATCTGTGTGATGTACTCGATACACTGACAGTGCCATAATCAGTTCCATTAGGCTACACCGCCGTTCCAAAACATGGGTATACAGAATGTCAAGTCACAAGAATAAAAATGCGAAATTTCTCAGTTCAATATTGTGTATGGCCGCCCCGCGCATTCACCACTGCCAAACACCGTCTCCTCATCGACTGCCTGATGCTTGTGAACCGTGGTTGGGGATTCTGCGCCATTGCTCTTGCAAGGCAGCCAAGTTCCTGCAAATTCTGAGGTTGGTTCCTAAGACCACGAAGCCTTCTCCCAAGTGCATCCCCAACGTGCTGTATTGGATTAAGGTCAGGGGACCTCGATGGCCAGTCCATGACGTTGATTCCAGCGTTTTGAAAGAAATTTCGAGTCATCATCGCGGTATGCGGCCGAGCATTATCATGCTGGAACTGTAGACCTGGGCCATGAGCCGCCATGAAAGGAACGAGTTCAGGGGAGAGAACCTGGTCACGGTAAGCAGCAGCTGTGAGGTTTCCACGGATGACCAGAAGTCGGGAACGGTTGTTCCCACAGAAAGCACCCAACACCATGCAACTTCCGGCCCCGAATCTGTCGACTTCCTGTACACAACATTGGGCATACCGTTCACGACGTCGTCTCCAGACTCTATGCCTGCCGTCCGCGAATCTGAGGGTAAACCTGTATTCATCGCTAAAGGCGACTTCGATTCCAGTCTCTCTGGGTCCATCGGAGGTGGCGTTGGGCCCACAGCAGGCGTTGGCGTTGATGAAAGCGGCGTCAATATTGGCCCACGATATGGATGTCGAGAATGGAGATTGGCAGCCCGCAACCGATTTGAATGGTCTGTGAGGACAGTCGACCTCTAAACATCTCAGCCCTGGTTCGTGTAGCGGCAGAAATCTGTCACATAGGTGGCGTAGGGCGATTTGACGGTCTTCTGCTCGTGGCGTCACACGCGGACGACCCAACCTTTAGGCGATCAGAAGTGGTGCCAGTTTGTTGTAGGCGACCTGCATAAGTCATACACAGTACGACGGTTGCATCCCATTGCTCTTGCGACGTCAATAACTGATCTTCCCGCTGGCAACATGCCAACGGCACGTTCACGTTGCACATTTGACAATCATGGCATTTCAAGTACCGTTAGAACTGTGGTTTAAAAGTGTTTTTTCAATTCTTGAGGCCAATGCAAACACGTGCATATGAAGAAAACTTTGATGCGAAGATCACGTGATCGACTGCACGTGCAAAACCTGATTCGGCACTAACATCATTTGCACAACGAATGGATGGGTTTGAGTGGGTTTTGCTAACGTTTTTCTAGAGTCGAAAGATAGGGATCCCATTTCGGATACATAGATGTATCATCAGAAAAAAAAATATTCATTATTTTTCAAATTACATTTTGTGAAGTTTCTTTTTTGACTCAGTATATTTGAATATTTTTAAACAATTCACTACTTTTGTTCTTGTGGGTCTAATTTATTGTTTTTGTTTGTCTTTGGTGTTTGATGCCCAAATATTCCAGCTATGTAAGATGGGGGGCTGGAAACAGCTAAGTCTTGGGCAGACTGACCAGTAACACCTTATGAGTTAATTTTTATGATGACACACCATCAGACAACTCCCAGAGTCAGACCACCCAATCCACTAGGTGCCTGTCATGACATACAGATATTGCTTGGGACCTAGCCAAGACCCAACTTGCTGCATCAGTGACTTACAAATTATGCAATTGTAAAGCTTTAATTCAAGTTGTGATGGAGACTAAAATACAAGACACATCAGCCATACATGCATGAATCTAAACACAACTGAGCTGCTGGATGGTGTTCATGTAGTGACGAGTCCCACTGAGGAGGGACGATTCAGTAGCAACTGACACTCTCAGTGAATCTTGTTCAACATGGCAGTCGATAATATTCCCCTGCACACACACCCTTTTGTCCAGAAAGTTTGTTAATTGACCATTGAAACTCGGGTGGAAATGAAGTGTGCACCCCTTCCTTCTCAATAGTGTGCACCCCCTTTCACAAGAGTGTGCACCCCTCCTTTCTCAGTAGTGTGCACCCCTCCTTTCTCAGTAGTGTGCACCCCTCCTTTCTCAATAGTGTGCACCCCCTTTCTCAAAATGCTGTATCCGCCCCTGAGCTCCATCACATGTCATCAGAGATCCTTTCATATTTTCTTGGGAACTGTTTTAATTCACATGCTTATGTGCTTATCAGTCTAAACATGCAACATCAGAATTAATTTACAATGGGAGTCTCTCTCTGTTTGTTTCTACTCGCTTGTATTTCAGAAGTATTATGATGGATTGTTTGCCCCTCCTTGTTCCCTGGTACAAACTAGTTATCATACATCATCTTTCTGTGTGGGCATATAAAACAAGAACATGTAACCTCTTCCCTCAACAACTGAAAACGAGCCCTCATTTAGACTGGTTCTTGCCTCTCTTTCTGCTGCAGCACCTTCAACAGGACTGTGATTTATGATTTATTTCATTTCTATTATAGGCTCATACTGATGTTGTGAATGGGTTTTTTAAAAATCCAAATAGGAAAATCTTTTATACAAAATTAAATAAATAAATAAATTGCAAATTGTTTCATGGCATGTCATTGGTTAACTAAATAGTTTTGTTTGCATTTATGTTTCCATAAATCTAGACCTAAAAGCGACTTGTTTTGCATTACTGTGCTGAATGATTTAGTACTGATGTCAATTCTTTTTGTGTTGAAGATATGAGCAGTTTGTGGAATTATTATTCCTTACTTCGAAACATTTTTGTGTTCACGGAGGCATAACTTATTGGCATCCTAGACTTTTACAGTGTGCACATTGTATTTATGTTTATGTCTTCATAAATGCAAACAAAAATAAAATATAACTTTAGATCTGGTCATGCTCCTTTAAATATGTTATTTTTGCATTGTTGGTTCCCAGCCAATTCTGGTGGTCAATTCAGTTACTTCCAACAAGTCACCAGTTGATGATTGTGGTGATATATTTCACGGGAGATGTGTTGGTGTCAGTGACAGTATCAGCTGTGAGTTTCACATGTGTACTTCTACAGCTCTTGGGGAGGGACAGGAGGCATGTGTGACTATAAGCCCTTTATCTAAGTGCTTCGGGGGATTTTTACAAATTTGACATAATCTACAATGACAAGGAAAGTGCCCTGCCCTTGTTCAAATATTTGGCTTCATGTAGACTTGCTCTGGCTTGGGTTTGTTATATGAGAGATTCCCTGTGACTAAAACAGTTTGTAAAATTAAAACCTGGAGAGTATGATTTAATTAATAATTAGCAAACAATATCTGTACATAAATAATTATTTTTCCTCATCCTGACTCATGCTCTTTTGCTTGTCTTCTTCTTCTTGCGAACATAGTGGAACACTTGTTTCTCCCTAATTGAAGCTCCCTTCAATGTAAAATCACTAATTAGTACTCACCACGAGTTGCCTCCCTCTTCCTTTGCGCGGGAAAGGAGGCGCCACCCTCTGGCCTCATGCTTCACTCTCTCCTTCTTCGCCCCGTGAGCAGGATGTGAGAGCGCCTGTGTCTCCCTACACACTATATCCTTTGATTATTCTTAGTTTATTACCTCTTATAGTCTTCTATAGAGGTGTAGCTAGTATCCTTCTACAATTATGTATTGATAATTAATCGTATTTCTGCTCTTTATTCACGGGACGCCGTGTTTGTTCAGCAAGTTTACGTTGATGAAAATCTGTACTATTTGTAGATTACGTTTTTCTGCTGCTGATCCGCATTTAATATGCCCAAGCTGTACTACGCCATGTGCGTTTTCTTCACGTTGCAGTTATTGTATTAATCTGTCTAATTCTGCATTTAATAAATATTATCTTTGCGTCTTGAGACATGCAGCAGATAGGTCACGCAAACAAGGTTTAGCCATGGCCGATACATCGGAACCCCTAGCCAGTCAGCTGCTGTCAGACGACCCCCTCCCGTCTGGTGTTCCGCTAGAGTTACCCTCAGAGGAGAGGCGTGGGACGCAGTCCGCTGTCTCCATGAAGCGTCCTGCATCCCCAGACATCCCGTCGTCCCAGCCAAAGACTAAGAGGGTTTCGACATCATCTCAACGCAGACTCCGTACCCCCAGGGCAGCGTCTACCTCCAAGGGGAAATCAACGAAGTCTTCTAGAACCTTCTCAGCCAAGATTGTTCCAGCCGCAGAACTGGGCCTGTATG